AAACTGTTTTCAAGCTGAAGCAAAGAAAAAAGAACTGCATATCACATTCTGTGAAATAGAAGAAGAGAAAAATGGTCAAAACTTGCTCTTCAACATTTCATGTATAAAATATAGATGGCTAACTATTTGTTTAAATTTTGATGTATTGCAAACATAATTGAGATGTATTTATTAATGAAATTAATATTAATGTATATTATTATTAATATATTATGTATAAGTAGTAAGCATTAAAATAACATATTGAAATGTTAATTATTAGCAGATAAATTTATGCTACTGTATAATGAGCTTAATCTAACTATAAACAAGTATTGTTATTTCTAGCAATGTCCATCGGTCGTTTATCAGGTTTTTTCAGTTTCCTGTCTTTGAGCAAATGCTGAAGATGGCCCTTGTTTGCTTCTGAACAGTAATATAACTTTCGCTCTCTGTTCCCACCCAGGCATCATATTGAGTCGTCATTACACGATTGTAATTTTATATGTGACTTTTCCCAATAATAATAATAATAATGCAAATAATAATAATAATAATAATAATAATAATAATAAATATAATAATAATTATACTATTTAACTATTATTACTATTAACTATTACTATATATTATTATAATTATTATTATTATTACTATTACGATATGGACTATTATATTATTTTATCTATTATTATTATTATTATTATTATTAATTGTTCACTACATTATTCACAGTATCTACTGGTCGGTATGTCAACCACACATCAGGTATGATTGAACAGGTGTGTGGTGCTAATCCTCTACCAAGCGTCCCCAAATAGATGCCACGAGGCACGCTGGCTAATACGTTACAATAATAAAAGTCATAAGCTAAATGATAAGGACAAATACAGTACCAATTAATCCAGAAAACACTTTGGTAGAGTAAGAAGAATGAAAGGAAATTAAGAAAGTATTGGCATAGGTATAGACCAAATGGTGAGATACTAACACAGAAAAGCAACAGCTAGAAAGATGCAAAACCTACAATCAAGATAACTAATCAGAAAAATATAAAGACATTGATGCATACCATGTACTTGACAGTATAGATAATGAAGATGAAAATATAGTATCTGAATCATCCTTTAACAAGATTTGTAATAAAATGAACAACTTAAAAATCTTCACAGCACTAGGAATAGATAACATACAATTGATGTTTTCAGGCACATTGTCTGATCATAAGTTTTATAAGTGTAGTGAATGTTTTATCACGAGAGGTGGCAGAGTTCCTCAACTGCTGGATGGCAAGGTCTGATGCCAAGCTACACTCGGCTCACACGAAATATCCTTCTTCAGTTACCTCCCCCTAGTGGGGCAATGCCTCAGTCAAACCAGAACAGGCGGGAAATAAATTGAGTGATGAATTCCAAGTAAAAGTTTGGGATGAAATGGGGAGATCCATTATCCACCACTCCCTTTGTATTAAAATAGATGTAATTTTAGGCCAATTTGATGTGAAAGGCAATTTAACTACTAGGCTGTAACAATGTCTGGCATAAGCAGAGGTTTGCACAAATAAGAAAAGTATTGGACGATATATTCACAGGATGTAATCACACAGCTACACAATATGAGCTTCAAATCAATAATCAAAAAACTAAATTTGTGAAGTGCAGGTACACAAATTCGAGGAAATCACTATTGGTAAAATGTCATAAAAAGAAGTAAGAACCTTTCTAACCTCAGATGTAAAATAAACAGAAAAAACAAAATAGAAGAAGAACTTAATAGAATTAAGAGCATTGGATTTCACACATGATGTCCTATACAGGAACAGATTATTTGAATGGTGGTAACATATTCAACTCAGATGTGTATGATAAAAAAATTGATATTCAAGATAATTACTTTTAAAGGGAAAGAAAAATAATGAGACAAATATGCGAGCCAGTAAAGAACACTGATGATACATGGTACCTGAAGAATTGGGTACAACATTGAAATTAACAATTTCACTAAGAAAAAAAACAATTGGAAATAACTTTAAAGCTCTAGGAGTAAATGGGCTGGGACATGGGTTTTTTTAATGAATGATAGTAGAGTAGTCAAGAAACTCTTTAAGTGATGTCTATTCTCAACCTGAGAGAAAGGAACAATTTTTAGAGGGAAGGACGATGTGCTAATTGATATCAGATGATTAGAAATTAGGAATTGGACAGCACATTTTCAAAATGAAAACAAAAGAAAGCTGCTGTGTTGATCAAAACCCCCTAAGACATTTTTTAACATCTGAAGAAAAAGAAAGAAGAAGAAGGAAGGAGAAGAAGAAGAAGAAAGGAGAAGAAGAAGAAGAAAGGAGAAGAAGAAGAAGAAAGGAGAAGAAGAAGAAGAAGAAGAAAGGAGAAGAAGAAGAAGAAGAAAGGAGAAGAAGAAGAAGAAGAAGAAAGGAGAAGAAGAAGAAGAAGAAGAAGAAGAAGAAAGGAGAAGAAGAAGAAAGAAGAAGAAGAAAGAAGAAGAAGAAGAAGAAAGAAGAAGAAGAAAGAAGAAGAAGAAAGAAGAAGAAGAAGAAGAAGAAGAAAGAAGAAGAAGAAAGAAGAAGAAGAAAGAAGAAGAAGAAAGAAGAAGAAAGAAGTAGTAGTAGTAGAAGAAGAAGAAAGAAGTAGTAGTAGAAGAAGAAGAAGAAGAAAGAAGTAGAAGAAGAAGAGAAAATAGAAGAAGATGAGAAAGAAGAAGAAGAAGAAGAAAAGAAGTAGAAGAAGAAATAGAAGTAGAAGAAGAAAAATAAATAGAAGAAGAAAATGGAGTAGAAGAATAACAAGAAAGAAGGAGAACAAGAAAGAAGTAGAAAAAGAAAAAGAAAGAAGAATAAGGGAAAGAAGAAAAATTACGAAAAAAATTGTATTGATATTTGAAAGTATTTGTGAATTCAAGTGCATTTAATCATGAAAAGATTTGTGATCTGTATAACTTTATCTACGGGACAGTGTATTAGGTTCGATACATGATAACTACGATTCCTACAAACAGGAGATGCCAAAGATGGCGTTTGTCAATTGAATTTAGTAAATAACTTTTATAATGAGAATTTAAAAAAATAATGAGCAAGGCCCCTTGATTCGTATGCGCACCTCATGCGCCGGCTCGGAAATACCTTAGTCGAAACCAGAGTGGACCCAGTTCGAAGTCGAAGGCAGTCCGCAGTGCAATCAAGCGAGTACGAGGGTTGCCTGTTATACTGCAGGATTAGAGAACAAAAACAAATATTAATCATCGAAAATTACTTTATTGTTTTTCAAAATATTCCCCATGAAGACCTATACAATTTTGCATGCGTTTCAACTAATTGTCGAAGCACTTTTGCCACTCTGATTGATTGAGGTATCTCCAAAACATGCATTCTGAATGCAGCAGCCGCTTCTTCAGGTGTCGAAAAACGTTGACATTTCAGTTTGTTTTTTACGTACGAGAATAAAAAGTAGTCATTCAGTGCCAAGTCAGAACTATACGGCGAATGACTCATCAAATCGATGTTTTGGGTGCTCAAAAAAGCAGTTGATTGAGACGATGTGTGAGAGCTCACATTGTCATGGTGAAGAGTGATCCGTCTTCGGCGGTTGTTTTTCCTGATTTCTTGGAACTCAGCTAGCAAAGAAATAGTTATGTACCACTCAGAATTGACTGTTCTGCGTTGTTCTAGTGGTACGGTTGCGACATATCCAGTTTTTCCGAAAAAAACAGGCGACCATCTGTTTGGAAGTGCTTCGTGCGCGAACAACTTTTGTTGTATTTTGCTCATCTTGAAGTACAGTCGACTGCTGTTTACTTTCGGGCTCATACGCGTAAATCCACGATTCATCACCTGTCACGATGTCTTACACGTGTTTCGAAGCACCGCGATCGTATTTTTTGAGCATTTCTTTCGACCAATCGACATGGGCATTTTTTGAGCCATTGACAAATTGTGTCAGATTCAACGCGAACAAATTTTTTTGACAGTCAAATGTTCATGCAATATTGAATGTATGCTGGTCCCACTAATGCCTAAGGTTATCTCAATCTCACGATAGGTCACATGACGTTCTTGCAATATCAGTTCACGCACAGCATCAATGGTTTTCGGAAGAACTGATTGAAGAACTGATTCGGAAGAACGGAAGAATTGATGAACTGATTTTGGACGACCTTCGCGAAATTCGTCTTGGAGTGAACTACGGCCACGATTGAATTCACTATACCATCGATTAACACTGGTTCTTGATGGACATTGTCATCTGTATCGCCAAAAATTGAATTAAGTTCATCCATGCACTGTTGCTGAGTTAATCCACGTCGAAAGTTGTAAAAAATAATCGCACGAAAATGTTCATGATTTAATTCCATTTTTGGACGAAGATGAATCTTTTAAGTTACTGTTAACAACACAAATAGCGCTCGTATGTCAAAACGTTCTGAGTACGTATAACCTCAAAACATCCAACTTTACGATAGAGCTGTCAGTTGCCAGATTGCAACACCAGGGTTGGAAAATCCCGAAACATAAAAGGCAACCTTCGTACAAACTCCGACCGAAGCCAATTAGAATGAAGAGCCAGGCCAATGGCGCCTACCTGGAAGCCGCCGAGGCGCAGGAAGACGACGGCGGGACAGAGAAACTCGGGCAGCGACGTGAGCAGTTCGTTGACGGAGTCGTCGTGGCGGCCGAGGCGCGACAGGCGGCCGTCGTGGATGGCGAGGTGTAGGCGGCAGTTGGCCAACACCAGGTCGCGGACCGACGTCGTCTGCAGGAACGCCAGGAACACGGACAGCGACCCCTCCTCCTGGCCACATCGGAAAACAAGCGCGTTCACATCCAGCTTTGCTTAAATTGAGGAAATACGTTATTTCTGGCGTCATAGTTGTTGCTGATATTGTCTTATGTCCAGATTATGTCCTGATTTCGATTACGGCTCTAGTCCGGTTCAAGTAGAGCTCTGGACTTTTGAAAGCTATCATCCGACTATCATTTCATTTATCTGGAAATTGTGATGATGCATGACTAAGTGATTATGGGTTCTGATTAGGACAGTAATTCCAATCTAATTTCGCTGCGAATTTTGAGAGGGTTCTTTCTTACGTGCCAGAAACATGTTATGGTATACTGAAAAAATCCGCCCATCAAAAACAAACAACAAATGCTTATAACCCGCGAACTTTGGTTTTGCTACCCGGTATGTTAAATGCCATGCCACTAGGCCCGGCAAAGGCGAAATATTAAGCGCGTGCAAGGGATAAATATTAATGTGGAAAAAACGTGCGAGTCGAAACTTTTAATTCGTTCATTTTAATTCCCGTTCATTATTTCCCTTCTCTACCTACTTTCTTGTTAACTCCATCATTTGAAATCATTCTTTTGAGGCAACAATGTAGCTTTTGTGCAAACGCGTCGTAAGAAATCTAATTTTCAGATTAAAGACAATTTCTTATGCGATTAATTTTCCATTCATCTTTTTCTCTCCTCTCTCCCCGTTTAGTGGCATCTCTTCAACCTCATCTGAAGAGCAAGGCCCCGCGCACCTCGATGCGGAAGGTCCACCCGTCGAGGCTGAGCAGGCGCAGGCCCGTGTTCTTGGCGAGTGCCTGGCACACGAGCTGCGTGGGGCCGTCCTCCAGCACGAGGCGCTGCGAGCTCAGGTCGAGCAGCTGCAGCGAGGAGTTGTCGGCCAGCGCCAGCAGCACTGGCAGCACCTCGCCCAGGCGCGTGCCGCCCTCCAGGCGCAGCGCGTCCAGCGCCGTCGACCGCCGCACCTGCGCGCAACACGCTTTCTCGCATTCCTTCTTCCACCCGCGAAAACAATTGGAGCGCTTTCTCAGACAATACGTTTTTAAGAAATTGCATACATTTCAAGCACATATTACGCGCAAACTACTCGTTTTCTTTAAAAAAATGTACATAACATTTTTTAAAGAGCTGATATTTTACAACTGACTTTGAGTCAAAAATCTTCAATTTTGTAGTTTTGGAATGTTAACTTCTTGAAATTTTCGAAGTAACCGAGATTTTGCCGAAAATGGGACTAGCACCATATTTTATGCTGTCCCTCGACAAGTATCCTATATTACACGAAAACTACTCATATTTTCGAAAAAATGAACAAGAACTTACTTAAAGATCATTCTTTAGAGAACAGGAAGGAAAAAATCTCTATCTTCAATATTATGTCGTACGAACCCTTCATAAAAATTTAACTTTTGCAATTGTCAAAAAAATCGGGAATTTCAACGAAAATGAGTCCTGCAGCATTCTCTTAAGTATCCTTTACACTATCCGAAAAAAGTTTGATCAAACAATTTATTGTATTTTTTGAAACATTTTGAAAATGTTTTCGAGGGTAAATGTAAAATACCCTGAAAAGTTACAATATCAGTTTGAAATTCGTTCAGATAGATCGGGGAATATCAAGTTTGGAGAAGACCAGATGAACGGCGCCAGCGCTGACCACAGACGGACGGACCTTTTACTGTCAATCGATTTTCGGTATCAGTGACGAACAAACATCCATTCTGGCCACCCCACGTGTTAGAGGATACATCGACTTCTTCGTTAGCAGGGCTCGCCAGTAAGAATTTCTGACTGCTGAAAATTCCCTGTTTTCCGGCGCTCCATTCCAGAACGTTCTCTTCTTGCCAAGTGCCTTTGTGGGGCGAGAAGTGAGAAATGCCCAACGACAGTGGGCAGATGGGTGGTGAGCGGGGCAATGCGTTTTAGCCTTAAAATATTTTAATTTAAATTATAAGGTGAGTGAATATCAGTTCGTTCGTGTCTTGTACAATTATGTTTTCATTATGTAACATACAGAAAAACTACTAATATAGAGATAGTTGTTTTTTTATTATTTATTTTAGCAGAGGTGTGGAAAAGCAGTCTGTGAAGCGTACTTTGTAATACTTATTGTAAATAGAAGTGAATAATGTAATAAACGTAGTACGATCGTCGTTGACACATTGCTGGCCAAATTACTTCAAATTTGGCGTCTTGTTTTTTTAACAGAGCGTTTGATGTTCTTTGAAGGCGTTTCAGAGGAAAGGATTATACATTTTGAACTTGGCGCCTCAGAGATAGTCTTAATTTTCCCCAAAAAGCCGTGCGAATTTCTTCTCTGTTGATAAAACATTCATTTCTTCGTGCAAAGTTCCTTGAAGTCGATTGCGAATTGCTTTCAATTAGTTCGGAGCGACACCGAAAGATCGCACCAGCTCCTGAGCAACTCCCGCGTGAAATTAGCATTGTCGAAATGCTAGGAATTTTCTATTGCAGACGCCTGCTCGCCTTGTTACGACAAGCTAATGCGGAAAGCTGAGTAAAAGCGTTTTGAACAGGTTCGACCCAGAGTGTGCCAGGCACTGGATGTAGTAGAAACACGTAGCTAAAGGCCACGAAATTTCGTAAGGAAAGAGTCAATTTTCGCTTGGACAGAGGTAACTGTGACAACTTCTTCAATACTCTTTTAATTCTTTCTCCAAGTCACAATCTTTGTCAATTGTGTGTCGTCTCTTTTCCGGAACACTCTTGTCTGACAAAAACTACTGAAATAGAAGAGGCGATGTTCCGTTGCAGTTTCCATTAAAATGCTCTCCCAACTTTTCTTCGACTATTTTGCCGCCTAAACACTCGTCTTTGACTGTCTATAATTAAAGGATACAATAACTCATTAAATTCAATAATTTTTAGATACATTTATTAAAACAAAATTAAGCTTACTGCATTTTTCCCATTATCAATCTTTTTTCGGCTAATTTCTCTGGATAATTTTCGGCACCTGAGGGTTGTATAGAGTTGCGGGTTTCACCATTGTACAGGGACAAATTGTGCCAAATCCAAAACATGGACGTTTTTCGTCTCCGTCACTAGTTTAGTAAGGATACAAGCCATGTATTTTCGTTAGGTCCTCATTTTGACACAATAGTGTGGACTTGCATGTTCTATGACAAGAAGAGACGTTTCACTTCAAAAACTTGGAGATAATTTTGTAATAAAATTAAAATTATTGAAGTGCAAAATACTGCACTTCACGAAAATGAATAATAGAATGGAAACGAAAGAGCAATAAGTAATAAAATAAAAAATGTACAAAGCACATAATGTAGACTAAGATATTAAGAGTGCCGAAAAATGGAGGATGAAGAGATGATTGACGGAATGGAGGTACGAAGTTTGAAAGAATGAACGTGATGTTCGAGGAGACAAACTGCAAAAATTGGTGAAGAGCTGTATTAATGGGATGTAGATATGTACTTGCAGGTGTCAGATAATAATACCTGAGTGAAAAGAGAACATAGAGAAATGACACAAGTGAATGAGACATGTTTTTGAAGTGACGCACCGTCTCGCCGAGGCAGAGCGCGTCCTCGGCGCCGAGCAGGCACTTGCTGACGTTGAGCGAGCGCAGCTTGCAGGCCGGGTCGCGCGCAGCCTCGAACACGTCGTGGAAGCCCGAGCCGGCGTGCGCCGACGGGTCGCAGGCGGGCAGCGGGTGGAAGAGGCGCTGGAACAGCACGCTGTCCGAGTTGCGCTTGGAGTCGGCGCTGCCGTAGCTCGCGTCCGCCAGCAGCTGCTGCAGCGGCTGGCGCGGCAGCGTGGCTGGCCGCCCCAGCGAGTTGTAGCCGCCCATCACGCCGCGCGGCAGCGACGAGAAGTAGGCCCCCGGGCCGGTCTTCGGCGACACGTTGCTGAGCAGCGATGGCTGCTTGCCCAGGTGCTGCAGCGTGCTCAGCCCGCTGCCCGCACCGCCGCTGCTGCCGCTGCCCGACCCTGAAGCACACACGCACCGATTGGGACTTTGGATTGATGGGTTAGTGCTGCCGGGCGCGTCAAGAGCTAAAGCGATTGGTCTCGTGTGCATGCTTTGTTTTCTGCGCGAAGTGGCGGTGCTCTTTCCTCGCTGGATGGCGCGGTAAGGCGCCAACCTGCACGTCGGGCCATGCCGCTGGCAGGAGCGGAAGCGCAGCGCATGTTAGTGTCGCATTGGCCCTGGCTGCCTTACCGACGCTGACGCCCGAGGAGGAGGGCGGGTCCTCGCGCCGCGCGCCCCACGACCCGGCCAGGTTGAGCGCGACGAGCGGGCGCGCGCGCAGCAGGCCCGCGATGGCGCGCAGCCCGTCGCGCCCGCAGCCCAGGTGCGGCAGGTGCAGCACGGCCACGTGCGGCGCGGCCTGCAGCGCGCGGCACAGCTGCACCACTTGCCCGGTGCCCAGGTTGAGGTCTAGCACCAGCTTGCTCAGCGAGGGGCTGGCCCCGCCGCGCTCCAGCCCCAGGCACAGCGCCTCCACCAGCGACTGGAACCTGAACATGCCCTTAATATGAACTGCCATCTTCCTCTTATAATCAATGTTCTGTGTACTTAAGATTCAAAATACTGTTTAACGATACTCCCACGTACAAATTAATCAAGAAAGGTAACAACACTGGAGAAAGGTTGCGAATAGCACACGATATCCTGCCGTCTGGGGATCGACAATAGTGTCAATAGTCAATGGCTATGGGTTGCGAGCAAAAAATTGAAAATTTTATTTTTATAATGAACAATTTTTTTTGAAAACATCGCTATTTCTGAACAAATACAAGAATATCGATCTGAAGAAAATATCGAAAGCAAAACGTTGATGTTATAATCTCGATGTTTCCGCTCGAAAATTTCAATGATTTAAAAACATGGATGTTTGTCATCCCTTGGCATGAAGCGTCTCTCGGGAAGGGGAGCGACAGTGGGTGACGGGCATTACGTTTCATTGATTAATGATTTCTGGAGCGTCAACTGCTAATGTCATTAGTCCCGTAAGTGGTGTGCATGTTTTATCGCGAGAGGTGGCGATTATCTCTCCCAGCTATTTAAATATTTTATAGTATTTCATCTGGTCTTACAAAAACGCTCGTTTTAATATAGAGCGTTTAACGCTCAGGCGCACAGGCCGAGCGACGTTGCCGAAGTTCCCGCGCTCCTGGACAGAAGGCAAAAAAAGGTCAGTCTTTCGTTAGCAGTCGAATCACGTGGAGCCCTGTGCGCTCACTCGCCATTTTTGCAAAACATATCTCCAGAGAATAGTCCTCGTAATCGGTCGTGTTGTCGTAATCAGCGATACTGTCGAGCAAGTCATATTCAACAAACTTGCACACCTTTACAAGTGTTATTTGTGGTGAAGGCGACGACCATAATCAAGCCAACGGTGATTCTAGTCAACGGTTGTAGCGCCAAAGGTACAAGCTGCAGACTACTTCGAAGGCGGCACAACGGTTCCCTATCTAAATTTAAGCTCTTTAAACCACCAAATTTAGCAAATCTAGCTTTTGCACTCAATGCTATTCATGTATAAAATAGTTTGATTAGATTATGTAATAAAATTTGTTCACAAACCTTTTAAAACATGTTCATACATTAATTGTAATTATTAATTTTATTCCAGTTCATAACCATTCATTCAAATTAGGTGAATCTGAAGTGCAAAAAGGAGCTACCAGAGAATCAAAAATACCATTGGGCTTCAGATGCATCATCTGGTTTTCCTAAAAATTCGAAAAATGTAAGTATAATATTGTTACGAATATTGCGTCACCTACCGAATTCGCTGCGCGTGGATTGCGTCATCTGCCGGCGCCCCTTCCCTACCCCCGAACTAGACGGTTCCGGACTATGCGCGAGCCGTGGGAAACGCCCAGAATGTGCCGGGTGCCTGGAGACAAGCGCCGGGCAGGTATAAATGCGCCGCTGCCGGCGGCCGCGAGTCAGTTAGTAGAAGAAGTTAGTAGAAGACGTGAGTAGAAGTGAGTGGCAGAGAAGCAGTCAGTCCGTCAGTGTGTCCGAAGTGGAAGCTGTGCTGTGAAATGTGCATTGCGGTGAAGAGTGGTGCAGCGGTTGAACAGCAGTCAGCAGTCTGAAGTCTGCAGTGGAAGCTGAGCTGTGAAGGGTGCATCGCGGTAAGCAGTGGTGCAGTGGGGAAACAGCAGTCAGCAGTGTGAAGTCTGCAGTGGAAGCTGAGCTGTGAAGTGGGCATCGCGGTAAACAGCAGTGCAGTGGACCCTGGTGTGCGCAGTGAAGTGTGGTCTGCGCAAGGAATTGTGGTCTGCGCAGGGGAATTGTGGTCTGTGCAGGGAATTTGGGGTCAAGTGCAGTGGACCGTGGACAGTGCATTGGACTGGCTGATACTGTAGAAGAAGAGAACTGTGTAAATAAATAGTGTGTAAGGAGTGAACTGTGTAAATAAATCATCAAGAGAACGGAATCGTGTGTAAAGGAAAAAATAATTAAGTGTAATATATCTGTAAATAGACCAAGTATATTTAGTGTATGATTGTTCCCGAATAAACGTTTTTGTTTACATATTCTGTTGGTTTTAATTCACCACGGAGAAACGTTACAATATGTTTGTAACCGAGCAAATATACAATGCAAATAACACTTGATTGATATAGTGATGAATGTGTTGATTATGAATGAATATCAAATATTTTTAAATCTTTAACTTCTTGACAATATTTATTATCTGACATAATTCATGTATAGTGCCCTAAAGACAAAGATGTAGAAATTTTAATTGAGAAAAGAGTAATTTCACTGCTATGAAAAATGGTCGAAACTCCCACTTTGATAAAGGGACGTAACTTACAAAGTTTCACATCACGAGCGTCAAAACGAAACTTGAGATCGAAGACAAGAGCGGGGAAAATTAGATATACTGACCAAAGGAGTATAACAGTTAACTAGAGATTATACGGCTCTGAAACTATGGAAGATAAGATGAAGTTATGAGCAGGGCTGGGAGAGCCAACGAAAGCGGGCACTGCGGCCGAGGCAAAGAAGCGACGCGGGGAGCCTCAGTGGAAGGCAACGGGCAGAAGCACACTGCGATCGACGTCAGCCATCACGGCCGTAAGGACGCCACGGAGCGCTCTTGATCGAGGGTGTGAGGGGGCTTCTCTCCGCGTGTTCTGCCGAAAAACGTCACTCAGCAAGCCGATCCCTGTTTCCTACTTTTAGGTATTCTTTGCTTCGGAAACGATCCTTGCGGCATCTGTTGAGAGTTATATGTTAGCTCGTGTTTGGCCAGCAGGTGTGCGCTGCGATCAATTCATTTATTGCCTTCTTAGGCTGCCGACCGTGATATTTAATTATTTGATTTATTATATTTCGAACGGCCGCTTTGTCCATAACAACATTAGAGATAGGAAGGATGGGGGACGATGCAATGATAAAGGAAGAGATAAAAACAGATATGTACGAGGTAGAGAAACAGTTTTCACATTTAGGTATCTCCCACCTGCCGAGACAAAGTAGTGTAGCGCTTGTGAAAGTGTTTGTAAGTTAAAACAAGGAATAGAAAGGAAAGATCGCGCGCAGCCTGTAGCTCTTTTGTTACGATTCTGCACCAGCATTCGTGTGGTGTTGATGGGAGAAAGCACGGAATACTAGCAGCTGGTTGAATTCGAGCTAAGTGCGTAGCCCGGTCAGAGGTATTGCAGGGACACGAGCACTGGCGCTGAGGCACCCGCCACGCGAACATCCCACTGCACTAGTACTTACTTTCTCCTCCTCACTTTTAGCGACATTCTCATCAGAGCCGTAACACGTCTGCCACGGCGAAGGCAGTAAAAGAAACGGGGCGCGAGCGCGGGCGACGGGGAGCGTTGGGGCAGCGCCCACATGTTGAAGTACTAAATGCACTCGCGTAGGCCGCCAGATAGAACAACCACCCTCCCCACTGCCACCACCGGCCTCTATCACATCGCTCGCCGTTTACCTCCCGTTCGGCCGGCGCGTGCTCCAGCCCCTCGCCGCCCCCGCCGCCCGCCCGAGATTCAAGTGGCTGGCGGTGGGTACAGACGAGAACGTATAATCTCGCGAGCAGCGCGGCTCAAGTTCCGAGAGTGAATTTAGGAGACGTGATCCTTCCGCCTTGCCACGGCCCCCCTCCCCGCCCTCGACACGGCTCAAACTTGTCTTCGCCGCGGGCCGCTCGTCCTCCCCGCCCCCGCCCCCGCCCGCAAGCGAGAGATTTCGACAACGGCTTAAAAATGTTTCTTAACAGCAACCACAAGCCGCCTCCTGAAAACTTCGTGTCGCGAAAAAAGCACCTAACGCGATTTATACCTTCCAAAAACAAATGAAAGAGTTACTGTGACGTCGAAAATATGTTTAACTCACAGGAATAAACTCCGAAAATGTAATGGTGTTTCGTTTTTATACGTCAGATTTGCAATTTAAAATCACGAAAAATCCACAGAAGACATTTCCTTTGTTTCTGTGAATTTGGAGGGAAAAGTTCGTTGTAACATTACAAAAAGACATTTTTTTAAAAATTGGTTTACAGAAAGTATAATTTATCTCCCGAAGATAAGTTGAGATAGTCTTTGCTACTGTTAATTAAATTCATATTTGGTACAATCAATAGGAGTCAAGTGAAATGAAATAAAAAGTAAGAAGCATTCAAAAATGTACCAGTTCATTTTAATCGAACGAGACGTACATCTGTCTTTGACATAAAATTATTAAGCAATTGTAGGTATGAAGAGACATAAGTTCTACTGGAAGATATGACTAAGCGAGCACAGGAGAGAGGCAAACATATTACTCATGGAGAAAATATCAGAAGGTAGGCGTGAAAGTAAATGAAATGAAAACGACCTGAAGATTAAGCGATACAGTGCCAAGGAGGAGACAAACGTCGAAGGCAAAGAGTGCGTGACTAGGAGCTGAAATAAGATGAAAGAAGCAGAACGATGCTGAACGTGAAGTGAAGAAAAGCAATGATAAGGTTGCTTGATGAGGTCGTGTCGAGGACGAAGTGTGTTCGAGAGATGAGAAGACACGATCGCAAAGCGACACGATTCGACTCGCACAGACAAGGATAAGACTATTCGTTGCAGAAGTAACCTTTAAGTTTTAAGTTTCCGTCTTCCGAGGTTTCTCTGCGCAGCGATCGCAAGGAGGGCGAGGAGGCGCCTTCTCCGCTTCAGCTCAGAACATTGAAAACGAGGAGAGGTCCCAGGAGACCAAGCCCAAAGGCGATGTGGTCGGGAAAGAATACAAAATGACGTGTTGGGACACGTCACGGGACTTGTAGAGAACTGGGAGCGGAGCGAGACAAGGAGTGGGCAAGTCGGGGGAAGGGCAGGGATGGAAAGGCTATCCTTTCGTTAACCGCTCTATCTTAGAAACAGGACCAGGGAACGGGGTGTGCGCACTGCGGGGCGCGAGGGAGACAAGGCCGGTATTGGAGGTTGGGGGGTGCGGGCGGAATAAAGTTCCCGGAACAGTGAAAGACGCGCTGCTGCAATTCTCCATTAGATTTCCCTCTTACGAGAGCAGAGCAGAGCCCCGACGCGGGAAGTGGATAAGGCGCTGGCTTCTTTCATCTCTCCTCGCAAACAAACGTAACGGAAGGAGCAGCGCCAACTTCCTTTGCGAAAGCCGAACGCCGAGAAGCGAATGTCCGCGACGGGTCGGCTGCGCACAGCACGCGCGTATCCGCGGCAGGCACAGAGTTTCTATTCGCTTCTACGAGATTTGGAAGCGATTTAGTCTGTTTTGGAAACAATGGTCTCCGTGTAGAACAAACCACAGAATATTACTTTGCACTTGCTCTTGATTGATGACACACTTTACAGATTGCTCGCTTCCGTATTGATTGCAAATATAATATCAAATATCACACATTATGTTCGAATTTATCCAACAGAACTATTTTCAGGCAAAACTCCATTACTTTTTCATTGTAATCACTCAGGTAGACTTCTTTTGAAGACGAAATCAGTCAGTATTCCTGGATAATTGATGATAGCGATGACGAAGGGTCATATTCATTTTTATATATTTAGTACTATATCTACTTACGCATATATTTATCACAAAATAAGGGAAGAAAATGAATCAAAAGCCTTCATGTAATTTGACAAATCAAATTATATATTTCTTTTATAAAACCGAAATTAAATGCAAATAATATCAAAATTAAATTGAAAATATGTTAAAATGCACTTTTTTAGAGAAACAGCATTAATTAAAAAACACCCAAATTGTATGTTCTTTCCGTTTTGAAGGAAATCATTTATACTTTAAGAGCCCGTTAACAGGTTTAGAGAACTTTTCTGAACTTAAGTCATTTGGCCAGCTTTGCAATGGCATGGCATGGCATGGCCTTCTTCGCCTTCTTCTTCTTAAAAAGTCGAAGACTTGTTCCTTTCCAAGAATTATACCGAGTCTTTCCATCTTCTCCTTGGTCTGCCAACTTCTCTTCTTCCCTTCGACCTTTCATTCCTAGTAATTCTAACGATTCTTTTCTCCTCCATTCTCTCAATATGATCGTTCCATTCCTTTCTTCGGTCTGCTACCCATTCAGTAATGGGCCTAACTTTGCACTCTTCCCTGATGTTTTGACTGTTCCTTTCCTTATGCAGGAGAGTCGTAATTTCTCTCAGAACTCTCATTTCGGCGACCTCAAGTGTTGTTGGGTACATTTATTCATTTATTTTTATTTATTTATATTTTTATTTATTTGTTTATATTGATTTATTTATATTTTTATTTATTTATTGGGGGTCACTGACCCAGAAGCTGAAGTACAATACTTGTTACAGGTTCTTTACAATTACACTATCCAAATGATATACAATACATTAAATGTCATTGTTAAAATTAATATTACTTTCCTTTTGGATGCTCGGCACAGTCTCTAATTGTACAGCAGAAACGATTTTAATTGGGACTTACTCTTTGGTATCGAATTTAATCGATTAATGTCATCTGGCAAGGTGTTGTAAAATAATGTAGATGTATTATATGTGAATTTTTTGTAGTGAGCTGTGCATACTGTTACCTGCTGAATATGATTACTACGTCGGGTGTTGTAGTTATAGCCAACGACGTTTGCTGAAAATATATTCCCGCACCTAAGTACGTCATTTCTGACAAAACTACTGATTCATATATGAAGAGACAAGGTAATGGTAAAATACCTAGATTAATAAAGAGAGTCTTACAAGAATCACGTGGGTGGGATTTGCTTATTATTCGTAAATTTTTTTTTAATCTAAAAGTCTGGGAGCTATATGATGTATTTCCCCAGAATATTATGGCATATCTCAGGCGGGAATGAACATTTGCGAAATATACACAACGAGCGGTGTGGAGGCTGACTGAATTTGAAAGAATTCTGAAAGCGTAGCATACAGAACTTAATTTAGTTTTCAATTCATTTAAATGGACGTGCCATTTAAGGTTTGAATTGAAAGACCTAAAAAGTTTGTTACCTTAACACAGTCAATGGCACGCCGTTCATTTTCAGTGACGTGCCGAGCTGTTTATTTGAAATGGAGAACTGCATTGAAACAGTTTTCTTTTAATTTACTTTTAATTTATTATTAAGGAACCAATTTGAAATATCTGATATTGTACTATTTACGGTTTCTTTATTGCAAAGAATATTCGTATCATCCGCAAAGAGAACTGTTTTTCCGTTTCTAATCCTCGAGGGAATATCGTTTACGTATAGTAGGAAGAGAATACGGCCTAAAATCGATCCCTGCGGGGCTCCACATGCAATTGGCAAAGAATCAGAAAGGTTGTACATAATGTTCCATTATTTCAATAAGGTATTTCTACTCTTTGAGATCGTTGTTTCAGGTACGAACATAACCAATCTAGAGCAACACCGCGAATTCCATACGAAGGTAATTTAGAGAGTCAAATGTTATGATCAATAACGTCAAAAGCTTTTGAAAATCTAAAAATATTCCAATAGGTGCTTCATATTGATCCATGGATGAAGCGACATCTTTAAGAAAAGAAAATATGGCTGTTGCCGTAGATTTTGATTTTCGAAACCCATATTGGCAACCTGAAAACGCGTTGTATTTACTATGAAATGTTTTCATTCGTACGCAAAAAAAGTCTCTCGAATATTGTTGAAAAAAACCGACAAAAGAGAAATTAGCCGATAATTTTTAATTTCATTTTTATTTCCGGTTTTTGAAAGTGACTTAATCTTAGCTGTTTTAGAAATATCTGGCAAATTCCTGTGCATAAGGATACATTAAATATGTGAGTTAACGGGTGCATAATGGCGGGCGCGCAAACCTTTAACCAACAATTCGGAAATTGATCTAAACCGGCTGAATATTTATTTTTTAGTCTACCTATTATTTTGAGACATTCATAGGAAGAAGTTTCGGAAACAAACATAGTGCCTGAAATTTTGGGGAAAATGTCTGTTGCTGAATTATGTGGTTGAAGGGAGGTGGGGTGATAGGGAGATGGGCAGTAATTCTCGAAAAGTATTGGTTAGACTAGCCACTGTTGCCGGAGCGTTCACATTTGTATCGTTATCTTTTACGACAATATTCTCTACAGGTTTCTAGTTGATTTGGTCGAATATTTTACTATCTTTCACATTGCTTTTGTTTTATTATTTGAGTTCAAAATATCCTGGTCATGTTTCATGATTTTAGCCTGCCGTATGATTTTTCTTAACAATGATTTTATATTTTTAAAATAGAGGAGGAAGCCTTGAGATACGTTATGGTGCTTAGAAATGAAAGAAATAATTCGTTTGTTTTTACATGATGTCCTAATCACTTGTGTAATCCAAGAATTGCTTTTCCGTGAAATATTTAATTTCCTCTTTTGAAAAGGAAAGCAAGTGTTAAAATGAAATGAAAGCGTTGAAAAGAGAATTGTATTTATCGTCTGTATCAACAGTATTGCAAACCACGTCCCATGACTCTTGCAGCAAGTAATTAATGAATAGTTTTATTTTACTTTTAGTAAATAATCTACTCATATGTGTATTATTTATTGTGTCAGTGTTCGCATTTCTTATAATGGTAAGAATTTGCGCATCGTGATCGCTGTATCCTAAATCTTTTGTATCAACTTCATATCGAATTGCAGTTTTGTTAATTATTATTTGATCGATTTCCTTCTTTGAATTTAGTGTTTCGTTTTGCTTCTTGTTTCTCCTGCTTACGGTAACATTGGTCTAATTATTTATTCATATATGTAACCTTCGAATTCTATTTTAGATGTTTATTATACGATATTGAGTAGTTGAGACAGCCAGCGATCCTATTACCCTTTATTATTTGCTCTTCGATTTCTTTTTCCGTTTGTCTTGAGCTTCTTAAAGTTATTCCCAAATACTTCATCTCTAGAACTTGTTCTATTATTTGATTATCCACTACTAATTTACACAATTGGATTCTCGGCAATTGACATAGCTTTCGTGTTCTGAGTAGATATTTGTAAATTAAAATTCTTGTTACTGAATTCGTACAGTAATCTTTATAAGTCATCTACATTTTCAATTCATGATGTGGTAAATTAAAAAAAATGACTTTTTTACATTTTTTTTGAGCAGTGTGTATATAAAAAAAGAGTGTGAATTCCGCTCCCAACGCAGACCGCCCCTTTGCTGCAATACCATAACAGGTTGATTGATATAGCTTCTCCCTCCCGCTTAAGCGGTTTCCTTCGCAATTGTCATTGAATTGCGATCCCTGCTGCCTCACTCTCCTCTCGTCTTGTACACAGGATCTCCACACGTTTGCCGTTGCCAGAAAGAAATTATCCTTGCAAGAACAGCGTAGGAAAAGCTACTTTTTCGATCTGTCAGGTGCAATATTATAACATGAGCTGGAAGTCAATCTACTCGTATCTGTTTATCTTATATACGTAACTATCTCTCTAGGGCCTACCTTAAATATTACCACCGCCTATTGATAAAGCCCAACAAAGTCATACAATAAGAAGCCAAGGTGTGACCGACCTGTCGTGCGCGCTGTCCTCCAGGCAGGTGATGACGAGCTCGAAGGTGTGCAGGCGCGCCTTGGGCAGCGTGGTGCGCACGTAGCCCGCCAAGCGCGCCACCTCCGCCGCCGTGAACTCGTGGCCCAGCAGCGAGGACACGCGCACCAGGCGCACGCTGTCGTTGCGGGCGAGCGCCGCGAAGAAGTGGTCCAGCAGCTCCTCGCAGTCGGCGCCCTTGTCGAACTGGAAGACCAGCTCCAGCGCCTCCAGCGCGCACGCCTCGCTGCGTAGCACGTGCGCCCAGCCCTCCAGCTCCAGAGGCGCCGTGTGCACCAGCGGAATCGGCACCTGCCGGCGCGCGGCTCTTAAGCGTTCGCTAGCCGCCCTCCGATTAGCCTACCCACTTAGCCTGCATTTCAGAAACTACTGCTTTCCTTGCTGGAAATAGTTTTTAAACATTTCTTGCTTTCGCGTCAGCACAAGAGAATCTTTCGTTATCAACGTAAATATTGTCTTAGACAAGGATTAAAATCCTTGCAAATGGGTTGTACAAATGCTGTATTTTTCCTTGTTCAAGAAATATTTTGAACAGGTAAAATATATGGATCGTTTATTCATTATACACGCCGCCCCTCTTAATATGCAACCCCTCGGACCCTTCCGCTCTCTCTTTTGGGCGTTCCTGCTTTCCTTAAAGCTTAAATATGGCTGTATGCTTGTTTGATTGTAACTACTGGGAATGTTAGAGAGAATTTAGAAAAAATGTTACTGTTGAGGATACACACTCGCAACTCTACTCGATGTGGGGATAGGAAGGGGAGGCATTAATGAACTTCGATTCTTTTATCAGACTTCTGAAATATTTTAACTGCTAATATTTAAATAAATATCTATTTTCGTGAGCACAATTATTGTATCTCCCGTTTCCAAAACAAAGAGTTTCTTAGACAAGGATTTAAAGACCGTTTCTGCAAATGTTTTCTCACTACATGGGGTACTTTGTCCTCGTTCATGGACTGTTTTCAAGACATAAAACAGTGTGTGATTGGGCATACACAGGACAAAATTTAGTAACTACGAACCTCTTCGCTACATAAAACCATGCTGGGTCCTATATCTAGAAAACAACCATCTAGATTTTCTAAAAAAACTAATTATAAAGAATAGATTATTGTATAAATACAAATAAAAAATACAAAATACTTATTGAATTGTATATAACATAATTGAAGGGTATAGTAGAACAAGGGGATATCTCACATTGATCTAGTTGTGCGATATTGAGGGTTTTACACAACCTAATTCCATATATATATATATATATATATA